ATTAAACTAGTAATCATTTTTTTCTTGGTAAAAAGCATGTTTGAAAATGTAAAGTTGTTCCTACATGTACATGAAATGTAAAAGAAATATTTCAATTTGTATGCAATACTATAATGAATATTCCACAGGTGGTATATTTTCATAAACAATTTACTAAACAAATTATTATTGGTAATTTGGGAACAACCTTTCTGTTTGCTATATGCCACGTAACACATGTACCATTGTAGCTCCCTGTTGCTCTCAGCATGACAATAAAATTATTACGACATCCATTGTGCAAACAGATTGTTCCCATGTGTTCTTGTTCCCATGAAATTTGATTCGCACATGTATGTGGTTGTCTGATAAAACTTAAAGCCCGTCTGCACTAGTTTGGCCAGAGGGATTAGACCTCCCTGCAAGGTCACTGACAGGTGGTTGTCTCATCAAATCAGCTCTCAATTAACATAAGAAAAAGGGGATCATGGGGGACCAACAGGCATTGGTTATGCATTGTTTGCTATATAGAGGGCGCAAGTAGCTACAAGTAGTGCTGTGGGGCTTTAAGCACCAAGGTTGTTATAGAGAAGGACAAAAGGTAGAGTTCTGGTAAAGGTGAAGAGTCATTTGTAAGCTATAATTTTGTTATTTTGTTGCTCATATTAGTGTGGAAGAATATCATTCAAAACTTTAATAGCTGCCAAGTGTTTGGGCCTAACTTTCATGCCACATGCAATGTAGTCCCATACACATTTGTTACAGTGCATGTGACCCACGGCAAGACTGAGTCCATTTTGTATCGTTTTGAAGATTCCAAAGCCTAACAGTGCATACTAAAACATGAGTTACATAGTTTACATACAGTACATGTATGAACATTCCAATCACTTCCAGATAGTTTCTTTGGAAATGCAATCACATGAACAGAACTCAACTCTATCTTTAAAGGGCCCATGACATCGAAACACAAGTGTATTCCTCTTGGTGTGCAGTCCTGCATACATCTCATATTTTGATATGTAAAATTTCTGAATTTGTTTCGTAGATTTTTAAATATTTTTTGAAATATTTGTTTTTTCAAACTTGCTAAGCTCCACCCCAAAAACCTCCAGATCTCATTCCCGATCTCATTCCCCTTGTGACATCATCTGTCAGTCATCAATGAGCTAACTTGAGAAAGTGGTATGTATCTTTGCCGAAGTCGACCACCTATTACAATACGAAATACAATAGCAACATATAAGTTGCTATGTCAGACATGCTGTAGCATCACCAGGAAGACTGTATTGTACGTATGTATGGAAGCATGCAATTCTATTATGAATGTGTGCTTAGAATATTAGTTTAGTCTGACATAGCAACTTATATGTTGCTATTGTTTGTGGTATTGTAATAGGTGGTCAACTTTGGCAAAGTGACAAGCTCATTGATGACTGACAGATGATGTCACAAGGGGAATGAGATCTGCAGGTTTTTGGGGTGGAGCTTAGCAAGTTTGAAAAACAAATATTTCAAAAATATTTGAAAAATCTATGAAACAAATTAAGAAGTTTAACTATCAAAATATGAGATGTATGCAGGACTGCACACCAACAGGAATACACTTGTATTTCGATGTCATGGGACCTTTAAGCCCTGACAAAAATCCTGCTTTCTCAAAGTAATGATTGATGTCGAATATAAAACAGGCATGATTCCTTGCTTACCTCACCAGTGGCCAAGCCGATGAAGTTCTTGGCTGTTTTAGGAACAGTTTGTCCAAAGAGACCGATCACAATCCTGCCAGTTTTTTCATCTCCAATTGTAATATCAAAGAAGACCTGTAATTGGAACAAACATTTAAAGAAAAAGTTATTCCTATATCCCTATAGAGTACCAAAGTGCTAACAACATAAAGTAGTAGTACCGTAGTAGTGGTGGTTATTTTACCTGACTGCCAAGAAACCATAAATGCTTGTTAGTAAAGCAACAAGAGGACCTACGGCTAATACATGTACATGTAGGTCCTCTCTGAGGGACCTGGTAATGAGGATTAATGCTTTACCAAAGGGCACTAGTGCATCGACTTGGTTTCGAACCCGGGTCACCGGATTACAAGACCACTGCTCTACCAACTGAGCTATTGCACCTTCTCATCATTTCTTGTTCAAATCATGAAGCCCATACTATTATTAATTAAACAAAAAAAGAATCCCAGAAAAAAATCACAAATTGCCATGGCAATATTCATTTTCATGTTCCCTGTTTCGGAGGTAGTTTTTGGCGTAGCGAGGCAGTTTTCGACCGCATGAACGTAAGTAGTCAATAGGGAGCGCGCGCTGTGCGTTCGCCCGCTAATCTATAGCACGGGCTCGCTGTGGTACAAAAAAATAAGACGCGTGCAGCCACAGCGCGTAATCCCCCGCACGGCAGAAAACTACACCTGCGGGTACGGTGATCAGAAATAGGAATCTAAACTAAAACAGAGAAACGGTGCTAAAGTATCCGACGGCAGTGGTATGATACATGCGGTGAGAAACTTTTGAGCTTGCGATACTCAAAAAATCTGACTCTAAATCTAAAAAATTCTTGAAATACAGCTCATTTTATGGTACCCATATTCTTGACATGCACACGTAAGATATTCAATTTTTCAGATTCGGGTAGCGGGACCGCCGATTACATCGCTAAAATGTGATATTTAAGGATACTTTTTCCATTGCAAATGTGGTTCTCCAGTGACTCCAGCATGTTATTGTATGTGTGTGATATGTGCTATTAGGCCTAAAATAAAAACTTGTTGTATTGCCCTTTGCGACCGACCCAAAAATCTGAAAATCTATGGTCAGCATTTTTTTAACCGTTTTTTTAAGATTTTTTTTTTTTTTATTAATAAATAAAAAAATATGTATTTTGTTTGTTTAAATGGGATATAAATGCATAAAATCAAATTCTCACCAGCTTTGTCAGCTAGTTGCAAACCATGGATTATTATGAGGTGAAACAGATATTAATGGAATGATGACGCTGAAACACATATATTAAAGCATTAAAAACTGAGAAATATCAGCCAAAACAGGGCGGCTTTTTAGAAGAAGAAAACAAATAATTCAAAACTGAAAAATATTGGCCCAAAGAGGGCGACAAAAAAGTTTTAAAAAATAAAAACTTTTCTGACCGACCGACGTCGGAGGCCTTATGCAATGTATTTGAGAGGGATTTCACCATGCATTCAACGGACCGGCCGAAAACTGCCTCCTTTACTCTATACACTGTACACTGCATAACTTTAATTCTATAAAAGTAGGAGTCTATGATAATCATTAATTGCCATCAAATTTAATTCTCAACATGGTATCGATGATCAACACGTGGGGAAATTCCACTTTGTATCGTTTTTCTTTTTAATTATGTGCGCTGATCAGAACCATTAACCAGAGCTTTATACGATATACGACCAATCAAAGATTGGCTGAATATTCAAAGCGTCAGATTTTAACGAAGGAACGTATATACGCTTTCGAATTGTATATCTCTCGAGAATATTGGTAGGGAGGCCAATACCCGGGCATAAGGCTTCTACGCCTACGATTTGTGCACTCGTCGTCTGATTCAGAAAATTGCCAGAAAGAAAAAAACAAAATAAAAATATCTAGAGGATCTATTGAATAAATATACAACAACAATACAATTATACACTCCACAACATACCTATAATCACGGATCTGTAACGGTCTTTCACCATTTGTTGACGATCTTGCAGATTTTGAAATATTTGAATCCAATAACTGTAGTAGCAGACGAACATGACGTGCACACCAGTAGGGGCGCTGGTCCGAGACTGAGGATCATCCTCATAAACGCGGACAAAATGCGTCCTCATAAACAAGGATCGTCTTCATTTTAGCGGATGTTTTTTTTCATCGGCGCTCTGCGGGTTTCGGGTTACCGAACCGCCCGCTGGCAATGCCAAATTTGGATTCCCCAGGGGAAAATAACCCTTGTTGAAAGTCTACTTTTATTTATGGGTTGTCCATCTTCCCAAGGATTTATTGTTCATAATGCAATGTGAAAGTCTCTGTACAAAATCAATGTAAAATGCATCAAGAAAATCATTCCGGAATCCGTTTTTTGCATTGCCATTGTGCCGATCAAAAATATGAAATATCTGCTTTTTTGCAGACGATCCTTGTTTTTGAGGACGCATTGGTCCGCGTTTACAAAGATGATCTTTGTTTATGAAGACGATCCTTATTCTCGGACCAGCGCCCCTAGGCCCTAGTCTACTCACCTATATGTACATGTAGCTACGTGCTACTGCACACAGGCGTTGTGGCGTGCGCCTTTAATCCAGCTAACAGTGGAAGTTACAAACTGATTCAGGCGAGGACGCAGGTTCGAAACTGAGCCACGTCTTTCGGATGGTGACGTTTAAAGGTCGGTCCCCAGACGTAAATAATCATATCTGATTGATACACGTCTGTAAAAACTCGACACACACACACACCACAATTGAAGCGCAGAGGTTTGCTCACTAAAATCTAAGTTAGGGTGATGATCTTGCCTTTATTTTAGATGTATTTTTCATGCTCTTTCGAATGGTACTATTTTTAAGGAGATTCAATGAATTTTATTTTTTGTTCACGTACCTACGGAGAGTTCTAGATCTACGTGTGCCATGGAAAAGCCATCGCATCGGATGCAAGAAATTGAATTGAATTGAAACACATTTTACTATGCGTGGGTCCAGAGTAATTTGACGCCCCTGATTTTTGTTCGTGCATAACTTACCTTGTCAGTCACCAAAGCATTTTTCTTTGTTGCCTCCTTGGCTTCTGCATCTGCTGGCATGAGCAGATAAATTAATGAGACTACAGCAACTGTAAATACTCCTAGCACCTTCATTGTTCTTGTCGAAATCATGCGGTTTGAGCAACGTTAGAGGAAATCGGGTAACAATTAAACATCAGAAGACCTCGAAATGGTACCACGCAGTTTAGTAACAAAAGATACAACAATGCTTCAGCGCAGTGACGTGGGCCATCAACTCGGCTTATAACAAACAGCTATTTGAAATACATTTTAATAACTTAGGCAGTATGAATAGGTGGTGACACGTGTATCTATTGCGATTGGTCTTGATCTCTTGCAGGCTTGGTCGTTGTCGGAGCGGTTCTAAAAGATGTTCCTGGGGGGGGGGGGGGGGGGGGGCTTCTGGGGAGCATTGCATGGAGGAAAAAAATCATAACATAAAAAATATTTTAAAAAATCAAAATCAAAACAGAACAGAACAAAACAAAACAAAATAAAGCAAAACAAAACAAAACGAAACAAAACTTTGCCAACAGTCACAAAAATCAACAAATAAGAAACAAACAACAATTACAGATGAAAATTTCCCAACACAGACCAACAGATATGCGTAAATGCCTACATCTTTTCGTGTAGGCCTACGTACTTTGATTGCTCGCCCTATCAACAGCAAATGCCTCGATCATCAATTTTCTTAGCCTACATTAATTGGGCTTCGTATCCAGTGGCGTACCTGGGGTACTCCGTCAGGGGGGGGGGGGGGGGGGCAAGCGATCGAAACAAAACAAAAAAGGCGATGCTAATTTTCACTTCTGGCGAGCGAGCGGGAAAAAAATATATTTAGGTAAAGTTTGGTATATAAACCGGTATTGTTGCAAGTCGGGGTGGGCACATCATTTGTTAGCCACGTTAATTTCATTTTTGCAAGCGAGCGTAGCGAGCAAGAAAAAAATCCCTTCTTTTTTAATAATTGCCACTTAAACTTGGTCCAATTGCCCCATGCCGGGTGCGGGAACAATATTGTGTTTGGGGTGATTTTATACCCATTTTAGCTAGCGAGCGAAAATACACTTTTCTCTTAATGAATTGCTACATGTACTATAAAAACTTGTTCCATTGTTGCAATTCGGGGTGGGCACAATCGTGTTTAAGGCAATTTCAATCCCATTTTGGCGGGCAGGCAACCCCCCCCCCCTACATTTCTCTTTTTAATGATATTGTAGCAGGTCAGTGGTGGGCACATAATTCCACGAGCTAACGAGCGTAGCGAGCGAGCAAAAAATCACTTCTCTGCGGTAAGAACATGGTACATAAACTTGATTTCATTGATCCATGTCAGGGACGTGATTATTCAAAGCGATGTTATTTCTATTTTGGAGAGCGATCGTAGCGAGCGAGAAATTTTTTTGTAATGATAATTGGTTCATAAATTTCAGTTTTTTGTTGTTGCAGGTCAGGGCTTACACAATCATGTCTAAGGTGATGTTAATTCCGTTTTGGCGAGCGAGCAAACCAAAAACTCTTTGAATAATGTTTGGTACATAATTATTAACTAGTTGTTGCAGGTTAGGGCAGGCACGTTGGCGATGTTAATTTTATTTTGGCGAGCGAGCGTAGCGAGCAAGAAAAAAATCGCCTATATTTTATAAAAATAATTACCAATTAAACTGGTTCAATTGTACTCAATGAATTGGTACATAAACTTTGTTTCGTTGTTGCAGGTCGGGGGTGGGTACAATCGTGTTTAAGCCAATGTCAATCCCATTTTGATGGACAGGCAAAACAAAATTAATGATGATTGGTGCATAATTTTCAGGTTTTTTGTTGCAGGTCGGGGCTTACACAATCATGTTTAAGGTGATGTTTATTCCATATTGGCGAGGGAGCGTATAGTTAGTGAGCAAACCAAATTTTCTTTGATTAACGTCTGGTACATAATTATCAACTTGTAATTTTGTTGTAGGTTGGGGGTGGGCATGTTAATTGTAAAGACAGCGTAGCAAGAGAGGGTGAAACAAAAAAACAAATCAACTCATATATCAATCACTAAAATCAATCAATTCATCAATTCTGGCGAGCGAGGAAACAATATCTCTCAAAATAGCGTTCGGTACTTATTTACTGGGATTTTCGTTGCAGGCAAGGGGGCGCACATATTTTGTTAGAAATGTCAATTCCATTTTGGTGAGCGAGCATAGCGATGCAAAAAAATCAATTCTCTTTTAATAGAAATTAATACATAAACTTGTTTTTATTGGTGCAGGTCGGGATGGGCGCAATCGCGTTTAACACGATATCAATTCCTTTTTGGCGAGAGGGCGAAAAAACACTTCTATTTTTAATGATATTGTTGCAGGTCAAGGGTGGGCACAATTGTTTTTAAAGCAATGTCTATTTCATTTATTCGCGAGGGAGCGTAGCGAGCGAAAAAAAAAGAATTTAGTCTCTTTTAGTAACATTTGGTACATAAATTGGGTGTTATGGTTGCCATGGTTGCAGGTTGGGGCCAGTCGGGGCAGACACAATTGTATGTTAGGCAATGCTAATTCTTTTCTTTTTGTAGGGGGACGAGCAAGTGAAAACAATTAATACAAAACAGGCTAGCAAGCAGCTCGGGCCAGCGAAGAGTGTCGACTTTGTTATAATTATCACTTATATTTTCCTATTTTCATTTCTCTTTTTCTTTGCCGTATGCTGAATATTTTTCTAATGGGGGAGGGGAAAGATACATGAAATTTTTTTGAAGAAACTCAAAAGCAAAAGGAGTGAAGGGAGTTCGAGCGAACAAAACTGGTCATGAGGGTACTTTTGCATTTTCAAAAGTAGAATTGAAGGATTTGGTATAGGCCTTCACTACTTGTGAGCTTTGTTAAACATTTTCAGGAAAAAAATTGTACGTTTTCAAAATATCTGGGGTCAACTGCCTCCCCCCCTCCCCCACCCCCGGTGCGTACGGCCATGGTCTTTTTAAAAATAATTTCCCCATTTTTTTCTTTCCTTTTCTTTTCCCTCTTTCTTCCTTTTCTCTTCTTCTTCTTCCTTTTTTCCCTTTTCATTTGTTCTTTTTCTTTCCTTTCCTTTCTTTTCTTTTCTTTCCCCCTTTTTTCTCTTTCCCCTTTTTTTCCTTTCCCCTTCCCCCCTTTTCTTTTTTTTTTCCCTGGAGCTCGTCAGGGGGCACTCTGCCCCCCTTGCCCCCCCCCCCTCAGGTACGCCAGTGTTCGTATCCCTGTACTGTATAGGCCTAGGTATAGGCCTAGTGCTGTAACAACTTCATTTTCGAATTGATATAAATTAACTGCATTCTGCAACATTTTGGGCGAAAAATAGGAGAAGCGTCAGATATACTTTCCGGATATCCGATAGGCTATATACACAGTGGCGTAATGAGCAAAAACGTTTGGGGGGAGAAGAAAAAAAAATCCGCATCCCCTGCACTCTTACACGTTAATTGCAGGCCCCGCGGAACGTTTTTTCAAAGTGGAGTATTAACGATCAGGGAGAGCGTGAATTGTCCCGGCCTGAGCCTCAGCAGCTAGGGGGTCAAGGGGCTGAGCCCCAGGAAGCTCAGGTTTTTAGGCATTAAATTACGGTCAGATAAGCATATTTAGATACCTTATTTGTGACACTGGCAGGTCACTAATTGCCGGAGAATCCAGGGAGCACAGCCCCCGGAAGCTCAGGGGTTTTAGGTATATTCAATTACGGTTAGATGAGCATCCAGGGGCCCTCTTTAAGGCCATTGATGTGGTCCATGGGCAGGGCCCCCGGAAACTCCGAGGTTTTAATATTTAACTACGGTCAGATGAGCATCCATGGCCCCCCCCCCCCCCCCCCACTCCGAGAACGGACGGACCCCATGCGTGTTACCAAACTCCTTTTCGTAACAAAAGAAAAAGGTCGACCCGTATTGACTTTACACACCGGACTTTTGCTGAAAGGGGGGGGGGTGCTGAAAAAGGCTCGTATAACAAAAGAAAAAGGTCGACCCGTATTGACTTTACACACCGGACTTTTGCTGAAAAGGGGGGGGGTCGCTTGGAACACGCATATGCGTACCCTAAATAACACTGAGTGGGGGATCGAGGGGCGGGATCCATGGGCCTTAGGGCCCTTGGTGGGGTCCAAGGGGCAGAGCCCCCGGAAGCTCTGGGGTTTTAGACATTTAATTACGGTCAGATGAGCATATTTGATACCTCATTTGTGACATTGGCAGGTCACTTAATTTTTCTCACTCTCTTTCTTTCCTTTTCTCTGTAACATACTTTTTCAAAAATGGACGGGGGCTCGAGCCCATCTGTTTTGCAGACCATGACATAAAAGCTTCTCAATAAGCATATTTTTCGCCCGACTGTAAATTTGGGAATTTCTAATTTTTTCAACAAACGCATAAAAAGTTATGACTTACAAAAAAATAGAGAAAAAAATACCGGAAAATCAAGCCATTTCAGCAACATTTGTAAATGCATTTTACCCCGGTCCCCAACATAAAAAAAAATCATCTAGACGGCCATGCATTATGGCTCAAGGCATGGGCACACAGAATTTTTTTTAATGTTAGGCACCGGGGTTAAATGCAATAAATTATTGAAAAATTATTACATTTTCTGTTTTTTTTTTTAAATTTATGGAAACTGCCCCCTACCCTAGCCCCCGCTGCGTACAGTCATTGTTCAGTGTCAAAGCAATGGCCTCGTAACTGTGAGGCCCCGGGATCAAAACCGTGTCATTTATGACTTAGGCGCCTTGGATCAATTCGAGTGGCAGTCATCACGCGGCTTTATGCAACGCGGCCTAGTTTGCGTGAAAGCCACAACTGTCCGAAACTCTCTATTGAGAAGACGCCATGCGAAATTCCGCACAAAAGGGCGTACGGTCCAACGACTTTAGAACAGTGTGCGACGTTCTCATATTGCTTCCAACTCATACCAGTCGACCGCCCTCTATAGGCCATGTAACTCTCAAACTATGCAGGGGCCGCGGAGGCGGGTGGCTGGGTTTTTTTTTTTTTAGTAGACACGTTTCATAAAAGCTCCGAAAAAGGGTTTATAGATTGTTCGCATGCTCAGACCTCCCCCCCCCCCCCCTACTCTCAAAAACGCTCCGCGGTCCCTGCTATTTATGGTCAGAATTCAGATTCGTTTCCTCAAAGGGATAACTTATTAAGAAAAATTATTTATCACACATTTATACAAGTCATACATTAATGCTTTTTCTTCCTTTAATATGTTTCGCTTTGTTGTAGCTTCATTTGTCTCGTTTTCGT